CGTGTGATCAATGTTGCTATTATATTACTATTGTTGTTATTATAAAGTATGGCTAGCAACCCATCCTCACAGAGCAGTTCTGAGAGTTAAATCAGATGAAATCCAGTCTGCAAATCTTAAAAAGGATGTAGAAGTACATCGGGGCTTCTGGAGAGAATCTGGCTGAGCCGAGGGTGGGCCTGGGAAGCCAAGGGCATCCTTTGAGCCACCTCAGGCCTCTGGAGCAAGCTGGCTGGCTGACAAGGCCTTTCCCTTGAGGCCCCACAAAGATGTGGAGTTATTATCATTACTGATGGCCTTTGAATCTCTGAGAGATTATTCATACCCGTTGTACAAAAGAGGAAAGAAACTGACGTTCCAGACGTGAGGTCACCTGCCCAAAGTCACTCGTTTTTCCTACCTGGAAGGAGGCAGCGTTAGCCCAGAGAGGATACCCAGATGGGCCCTGCCACGCCATGCTTGCTTCCCACCACAACTTCTCAGCCACTGGCCAGGAGGTGGCCAAAGACCTGGCACCTCTCGTCTCATGGCTTCCCGCTCCCTTTCTGGGCGGGGCCTGCGCTGACTCAGATGCTGGCACCTCCGCCAAGGCAACTCTGCCCAGGCTTTGGCTGGTCTGTGAGCCCAGGCAAGGCCAGAGAGGGGAGAGGGGTGGTTCCCAAGGTCTTCCGTTCTCCCAACAGGGACCTCAGGGAGACGTTCTAGCCTACCCAGCTGCAGGGAAGAAGGCCGTACCTGATAGGTTCCCGTCCTCATCCTGGGATCTGCCCAGAGACCTCTCTTGGCCTCCCTTGCAGGTTTCCAGAGTGTCAGACTAGTCAGAATCTCCGCGTGAGTTAAACAACAACTGGGCTGAGGTTAAAGATGAGCCGGCAGGCAGGGTGGGGGTGGGGAGTATATTTGGGAGACATTCAATCCTTGGGGCTGGATTTCCTACTGAGATGGGGCTGCCTTTATCTGGTCTTTCTTCTAGCCGTCGTTATCACAGCCCACCTCCCCTGACAGTTAGGGCCTCTTTTGTCCTCATCCTGCCAGGCTGGGATCCCTGGGGGCAGAACTTAGGGTCTGGCACAGGCATGGGAAGCCCCCGACCTAAAGAATTCGAGTCTGCTAGGGGAGAGGCCTCGTTTCACAAAATCATTTGATCAAAAAGAAGCCAAGACACAGAGCCCTGTCCCCAGCCGGGGAGTGACATCAAGAGTGTGTCCCCATGGTCTCAGGGAACATCCAGCTCAATTGGCATAACACAGTTTATAAAGAAAATGTTCTACATTTTACCTTGATGAGTAGCGTCTGAGATCTTAAAAGCCTGTGAGCAGCCATCTAAGATACTCCACTGGCCTCACTGCTTCGGCAGCAAGGGAGAATGAAGACAAGATACAAGGGAAAGATCTGTCCAAAGGACAAATGGACCACAGCTACCACAGCCTCCACCAGACAGAGTCCAGTACAACTAGCTGGTACCCGGATACCACCACTGACTGCTCTGACTGGGATCACAACACGGGGTCCCGGACAGAGCTGGAGAAAAATGTAGAACAAAATTCTGACTCACAAAAAAAGGCCAGACTTACTTAGTCTGACAGAGGCTGGAGAAACCCTGAGAGTATGGCCCCTGGACATCCTTTTAGCTCAGTACTGAAGTCACTCCTGAGGTTCACCCTTCAGACAAAGATTAGACAGCCCCATAAAACAAAATGAGACTAATGGGGCACAACAGCCCAGGGACAGGGACTAGAAGGCAGGAGGGGACAGGAAAGCTGCTAATAGGGAACACAAGGTCGCGAGGTCGAGAAGGGAGAGTGTTGACATGTCATGGGGTTGTTAACCAATGTCATAACTGTTTAACGAGAAACTCGTTCTGTAAACCTTCATCTAAAGTACAATTTTAAAAAAAAAAGATACCTTCAAGATAAAAAAAAGTGTGTCCACACAGGTTGGTGAAGGCTTTTTCCCATTACACAGTCTCTTCAATCTTTCATCCGTTCACTGACTCATTCAAGAGTATTTGAATGTTTTTCTCGTGCCAGGTGCCGGGAACATGGTAAAGCCCCAAACATGCCCTGCCCTCAGGGAGTTTTCATTGGTGGAGGGGGGCACACCTCATTCCACAGATGGAGTGATGCGCAGGTCACACCAGGGTTTGAAGTTGAAGCGGGACAAGAACCCACACCTGGCCTGGTGGGCTCAGGCTCCTACCTGGAGTGGACTGTGAGAGGAAGCAGTCGGGGTGAGCTTGGAGCCAGAAGCTCCAGGGATTAGGGACTGCTTTGGTTGTTTTAAAATATTCATTGCATGAGTAAAAATATGAATTAAGGAATATGAGGTAACACAGAAGCATAAAGGTCAGAATCACCCAAAATAATTATGGTAACATTTTAGTGTGATGCCTTTGGTTTTTCTTACAAAAATGAACTCATGCAGTATCTATTTTGTAACCTGCTCTTTCCACCTATTGCATCGAGAACGTCTTTCCGTCACAATATAGGTACTTCTACATCCTAAAGGCTGCCTAGTATTCCACTACAGGGCTATGCTCTAGCCAAGCTGCTCAGGTGCTACCAGCAGGGCCAGCGTCAGCTGAAGCTTGGTAGAAATGCCCCACCCAGATCGGGATTTGTACTGCATTGCAGTTTGAGAAGCGCTGCTCTAATTTACGTAAGTGGATAGAGCTTATGTCTTCCCACATGCAAGGCTGCCCTGAGCATCCATGGGTGCTCTCAGTGGAAGTAGCAGAGAACAGGTTGGGGACATGCTGTGAGGTCACAGCCCCAGTGGGGCCACTGTACACCCAGCCACAGCACCTTGGGCACTGCTTGAACCTCTCTGCACCTGTTTTCTCCTGTGTAAGGGATCATGATCAACATGTTCTCTCAATGGGTATTCCCATGCTGTCAGAGGTCTTAAGAAAACAAAAGGCTAGCTTGATCCCTACATTCTCCTTTATGGCAAAACAGTCTCACCTTCAATTTTCCCTTCCTCCCATTCTGTCTCGATTCTACTACTCCTGTCGGGGTTTAATGCCCACCACTCCACCCAAATGGCTCTTGTCAAGGTCTACTGACCTCACTGTGGCTACACCCAGCGGTCAGTTCTTAGTCTCACCTTTTGGACCTACCAGCAGCACTTGTACAGGTTATCAATCCCTCCTCCCAGAAATGCTCACTGTTCCTTAGTTTCTGGAACCCACTCTCCCTCTGGTCTCCTTACTTGTTCCCCTCAATGTCCTGACCACACCTAAACACTGGAGTGTCCCAGCGGACCACATTCCTATTCTGTCCGGCATCATCCCAGTCTGCCTGAAAAAGCCCGTTGCTGTGAGATGACTCCAGCTTGTGGTAACCCCATGTGTGTCAGAGAAGACCTGTGCTCCACAGGATTTCCAATGGCTGCTTGTTCAGAAGTAGATCACCAGGGCTTTCTTCCAAGGCACTTCTGGGTAGATTTAAACATCCAACCTTTCAGTTACTGCCACGGGCACATCCTGCCTTAGGGCTTTTAAATTCACCTTCCTGGCAACTCCCTAAGATATGTCTGTAGCCCTGACTTTGGGCTCTGAACTAGTCTCCAATACATACCTGCCAACTCAACCTGGATGTCCATCTGACACCTCAAACTTTACACGTCAAAGAAGCCAAGCCCCAGCTTGATCTAACTGTAGCCTTCTCCTTATCAGGGGATGACAGCCCCAACCTCCCTTCAGCCAAAGCCTGGGACTCCTGAGTCCTTTCATTCACATCCCACCAAACAAAAGCAAAAAAACCCAGTTGCTGTCGATTCTAACTCATGGTGACTCAATGTGTTGCACTGCAGAACTGTGCTCTGTAGGGTTTTCAAGGATATGACATTTTGGAATTAGATCGTCAGGCCTTTCTTCTGAGGCACTTCTGGGTGGGTTCCAACCGCCAAACTCATGGTTAGTAGTCAAGCACTTAACCATGTGCACCACCTAGAGACCCCTTGTGCTCACATCTAATCTGAAAGCAAGTCCTGACAGATCTACCGTCACAGCTTATCCATAAATCCAACCACCCATCACCAACTTCATTAACAGCTTCGTCTAAGCCTCCACTATCTCATACCTGGATGACTGCAATAGCCCCTATTAGTCTCCTTGCTTCCAACTTTGCTCCTTTACAGTTTTATTCAACGACATTGCACTCTTTTAAAACATCAGATCATGTCCCCCCTCTGCCCCAAACTGAAAGCTTCCTCACCCCAGGGCTTAGCACTTGCACCCACCCCCTCTCCTGCACATCCTCACCCTGACTCCCTCACCCCTCATGCTCCTCTTGCCTCTTATTCCACTGTTTCCCAGAGAACTTACCCATCAGACTAGTTCAAGCCCACTGGAACTAGAGTTCCACAGGGGTGTGTGGGCCAGTTCTGTTCACAGAGCTATTGCATCTAGAACAAATCTGGCCCTTGGAAAACAGTCAACAAATACAGATTGAATGTCTCATTCCTATTAAACTATCAAAGGTATACTAAGCATTCAGGTAATAGACTACCATAGTACAATTACTCATAAAAATTTTCTGTAGGTGGAACTACTGGGTCAAAGAAAACGAACCTTTGAGACACCTTTTTACCCTTCAGAAAAAAACGTTTTTAATAACTAGGCTAGCCACGTATGAGCTTTCACACATCAGGTATTTGACAGGCCTTAACACCACACTACTGTTTTAACTTGGAGATTTGATTACTAGTTATACTAGGCTGAATAGCGTCCCCCCAAATTCACATCCACCCGGAACTTCAGAATGTGATCTTATTTGGAAATAGGGTCTTTACAGATGTAATCGGTTAAGATGAGGTGGACTGGATTAGGGTGGGCCCTAAATTCAATGACTGGTGTCCTTAAAGGGAAACACACACACACAGAGAAGCTGGCCATGTGAAGACAGACTGATCTTTCTACAAGCCAAGGAACACCTAGGAGAGAGGCATGGAACACATTCTTCCTCAGAACCTCCAGAAGGAACCAACGCCACCTATACCTACAGATTTTAGAGTCCTAGTTTCTGCAACTGTAAGAAAATACATTTCTGGTGTTTTAAGCCACCCAGTTTAGGGTAACTTGTTACAGTGGTCTAAGAAAGTAATACACTACTTAAGAATTTTTTTTTTGTAAAGTTTCACTTATCTTTTGTGAAGCTGTGATCTGCGCCAATTTTCAAATTAAGAAATTTCAGTCAAAGATGTTGCCAACCTTCCCTCTGGCCCCACTTCTAGAGCTTCCACCTTTAACAGTCTGTAGAGCCCTTCTCCCGAACATAACCTTTTACCAACTTCAGGTGCACAGGAAAGGAACCCACCAAACCATGCTTCTTTATGGGTCCCAGCTGAGCCCTCACGATGTGACCTTGCCTTCTGCTCACACCACCCTGATCCAAGCTACCGCCACTGCCCCAAATACTGCAGATCCTTGAACTCCTTCCATCACTTCCTCTCTCACTTCCCAGTCTCCTTCTCCACCCAGCCGCCTGAGCGACCTCTGTAAATTACAGATCTTATCACTGTCATTCCAGATTAAAACCCCTCTGCAGCCTCCTGTCTGAGTCAAGTTCAAACAGGTAACATGTCTGTCAGCCACAGTAGACTATACCCACCTGGGTCACTGCTGCAGACCCAGCTCACAGCAGACTCCTCCAGCTGTTTCCTCATCTGCCTTATCTCTTTTCTTAGAAGAGACATGCATGGGGGCATCATGGTACCTACTTTTTGGGGGGAATGATGGCTAGTGTTCTGCAAAGCACCCAAATTTAAAAAAAAAAAAAAAAAGATAAAAGTCCTCTGCAACTAGGTAAGGAAACATGAATTGGGAAGAAGAAACAAAACTTCCAGTGACTTGACAAATCAAATCCCAACCATCAGGCCCAACCTGTTGGCTGCAGGGTAAGAGCTGGGGATCTGAATGCAGAACACAGAGGACACAGCCACTTTCTGGGGGAAAAAAAAAGTCAATTTTTAATCGTAACTGACCAAACTGTGTCTAGGAATGTCTCCAAACAGCTGAAAAAAAGAAACACAATAAAATTCTTCTACTGAAGAAACCAAGAGTTTTTGCCAACCCCAGTGCTTCTGAGGGTCAGGCCAAGAGCAGCCCATTCCGGAGGCTGACTCTAGTTCCCCGTAGGAGTTTCTCACCCCACGAGGAGGGTCAAGATGGGTGAAGGAATTAGCCGCTCCTGCCATCCTGCTGGGAACTCTTAGAAAGTCACTGGTGGAGTGAGTCTTTCCTCCCGCCCTTTGTCCTGTTCTAAGTGAAATGAAGACCCTCTGAGTGCCATCCAGAAAGTTAGAGAAGGGGTGAAGCAGCCCCAGTGCCCTCAGCCAGCCTTCACCTGTCTACTCAGCAGGTCGTGCCCAGAGTAGAAATTAAAACGTGGACTAGAGACAAAACCTCCAATGCCCTGTCATCTCCACAATGCATATCACATAGCAGAAGGCAAAATAAAACCACAGCCATAATGGAAAGCAACCAAGCTGGCCCTCAGAAGACGCGCTCAAACTCTGTCTGGTTGGTAGTGGCTGGATTGCGGCTCTGGTTGGTGGACTGCTGGGTGATCTGGCTGCCCTTCCGGCGTGGCGGCGCCAGGTACTCGAACATGGACGTCAGGTGGGTGGACAGCATGCTCTTGAGGTCGGAGGGCATGGGGTCGGACCAGAAGAAGTCATGGTTGAGGGCATCATCACTGTCGATGCGCTGCGCAGGATCCAGCACTAGCAATTTATCAATGAGGTCCAGTGCATAGGGATCACGCACGTAGGCCTTAAGCCTGTCCTTCACCTTCCGCTTCTGGCCCTTGGGTAGGTCCAGCTTCTCAAACAGCTCATACTTATCCACGTTTGGCCACACCTGGGGGGCAGGGAGTGGTGGCAATGATAGAGAATGGAGTTAGTTCAGGGTGTGTATGGCTTGTCTGTCGTTCATTTATTCAGAAGCTTCTGAAGTACCTAAACTAAGACAACTTATCTAGTCAGATGTTCCCCAGACACCCGTGAAGGAAAAACTCAACTCTCCAGGGAGAAAGGGGCAGCAGCCTCTATGTACTTAGCACATATGCAGTGCCAGACCTTTTATAAAAATCACCGAGTATATGTGGTGTCAACCTAATAAAGGCGTTACTTTTGTCTCACAGAAAAAAATTAAAATACAACTCTTAGATGAGTGGTTCAAATGGCTTGCCCTGGCCCCAGAATCTAAACTGGCAACAGAACTGAGACTTGAACACAGGCCATGTAGCTCTCAAGAGCAGGCCATTCCCCTCAACCAACCACCTCTCCAGGGGGGAACTTCTGGATACTGCATTCCCCCCTCCTGCCCTGCCACAGACACTTCTGAATCTCTGTACCTATGGGACCAGGAGTCCGCGCAGCTTAGACACGCACCTCAGGGGTAATGGAGCCACAGAGCTGGCTGATGAGGGCAAGCTGGTGCTGCTCAGTGTTGCCCTGCATGATAGGGCTGCGGGTCCACATCTCCGCCATGATGCACCCAGCACCCCACAGGTCAATGGGGGGGCCGTAGTCCCGCTCCCCTGGGAAGAAGAGTGCACCAGGGGGGCCCCTTGAGCCCAAGGGCCTCCTGAGATGCAATGCCCCGGAGCCAACAGCACAGGAAGCCATGGCAGTGGGGGGCTGGGGCTGGGCAGGAGCCCAGCCCCTGCCCCCCTCTGCCCGCTCGGGGGTCCTCACCGAGCAACAGCTCCGGGGGCCGGTACCAGAGCGTCACCACACGGTTGGTATAGCGGTTGGGCTGGCTGTTCTTGGCCAGGCTGAAGGCCCGGGCCAGCCCAAAGTCTGCCAGCTTCAGGACCCCATCACGGGTGATGAGTACATTAGCTGCCTTCATGTCCCTGTGCAGGATCTACAGGAAAAACAAGAAGGACGGCTCAGCCAGGATCCTCTGGATCTTCTGGCCACAACCACCCGGCAATGGGAGAAGAGGCCAGCCCAAGCCTTATTCTCTCTTTTCCCCTCTGGCCCCTACCTTGTTCCTGTGGATATAGTACAGGCCATTCAGCAGCATCTGCATAACCTTCTTGATCTCAGACAGTGTGAACTTGACTAAGACATTACTCAGCAGCCCAGCAAGATCATGTTCACAGAAGTCAAACACCAGGTATATACTGCCCTTGCAACGGTTATAGGGAGAAGCTGAGGCGGGAAGAATTGGGGGAGGGGCAGGAAGAAGAGTCAAAAATCCCATACGCAACCCACTTTCCCATAACCAGCTCCTACCCCCTTCTAATCCATGGACCACCCATGCCCTCCAGGGCATCCGTTTATTCGTTCCTTCACTGGTAAAATATATTCTGAGTGCTTCTGTGAGCCAGGAGGTGTCGCAGGCCCTGGGGAAGAACTAGCTACAATGAAAGAGAACCAGAGAAAGCAGTCACCACTGCCTAAAAAGAGGCAATTTAAGTGCATCCAATTCCAACTTTACAAACAAAGCCTTAGGCTATAAGCCCCATTTTCTCCATTTGAAAATGGGGGGCAAGATCCAAACAATGTACCTTTGGTTCGACAGATCTCAATCAAGTTGACCACATTCTCGTGTTTTAGAAGCTGGAGAATCTTGATTTCCCTTAGGGCTGTGATGGGAAACTGGATGAGAGAAAGATAAGAGGGTCAAAAGCAAGTGAGAGGGCTGCAGACCAAGGAATTGGTCCTGATATCTATACTAAGGAACACGAGTTGGAAGACTGAGTAACAATATGGCCTCTGAAATAAACTGCCTCAGGTCCCTTACCTGTAAAAGGGGTGTAACAGTAGCATGCACACCTCAGGAGTTGCCTTGAGACAATGAATCAATAGCTTCATTTAACACAAACTCTTGACTGTTAGGCACTATGCACTCCATGGTTTCCTTCTACCTTCAAACTTTAGCTCTATGCCTGTATTTAACTTGCTGTGTGGTAACAAAAATAATTCAAAAATGTCTTTGCTAAGAAACGGGTCTCTGGGGAGTGGGATTAGAACTAAGATGGGTGGGGTGGGGGACTGCTCCTTTTCAATACATTTCCTTGAGTATTATTCACTCTTTAAAGCCATGTGCAGGTATCTTTCACATTAAACAAAATCATGCACTAAAGAAACAGCTTTTAAAGGCTTCTAAACTCTGAACCAAAGCGCACACAGTGCAAGCATGAGGTCTCCCTCCTAGACTCAATCATACTTAAAAGCAAACAAATACTTCAAAACATATAAATTGAAAGATTTAGCTTGGAGGTCAAATTCCCTGAAATGTGGCAATTCCCGAAACTACTACACATAAACTCAACCGCTGCATGAGACTCCTAGGAAAAGCAGGCTGGAAACCCAACCCGGGTGCTCAGTGGAGCTGGCGGGCCTGCCCACTCGACCCGTACTTACTCCCTCTTTCTCGTTCTCCATCAGCACTTTCTTCAGAGCCACTTTCTTGCCAGTCTTGCGGTGCTTGGCCTTAAACACCTCCCTGTAGGCCGACAGAAGAACACGTGAGGGCTCATCAGGCAGTTTTCGCAGGGCTCGCTCCTCCTCCACTAGAGGAGGTGGGGGAGGAGAGGAGATTCTCGGGCGGGGCTAGGCCAGGTACCCGGGCACTCGCCACTTTACCACCCTGGATCTTCGGTCCCTTTCCGGGCCTCTGCTTCCTTCCCTCAGTCACTCCTCTTCACCCAAGCGTCTCTCGGAGAGATCCCGCTTTCCTCACCAGTTCCTCTCTGCAACCCCTCCCCGTCCCCTACCACAGGCCTCAGGCTCCTCCCCGCCAGCCGGCCCCACCAGGCCCTGGCGGGATACGGCCCGGCCTTGCGAGACCAGGGGACAAACCTGGGACTCGGCGGCTTCCCAACCACCTCGGACCCGGCTCCTGACGCTCCGACATCGGCTCTGGGGAGAGTAGGCCCAGGGCCCCCAGTCCCTCGAGGCCCAATCTTACCCAAAGGTGCCTTGGCCGATCTTGGCGAGCTTCTCATATTTGGAGACCTCATCACAAAAAGGGCACTCCACTGAGTCGTACTGCTTTGCCATAGCCGCCTCTAGCGCGCCGCCGCCACCTCCAGCCGCCGCCGCTCCCGCTCCAGGTCCCGCCGCCGTGCTCCAGGCCCCTCCGCGGCCGCGCCACTTCCGCCTCCACGGCCACTTCCGGCCTCGCGGCACCGACCCCGCCTCTTCCGCCCGCCGCCCGCCGCCAGGCCCCCTGGGACTTGTAGTTCCCGGGAGGCCAGAGGGAGCCGGAGCTGCAGAGGCGCCGCCGCCGCCACCGCAGCTGCCCCCGCCGCCGCTGCCACTGCTGGCAGCGGCCCCGATCATGGGCGCGGGGAGCCGGGGCGCCGACGCTGGGGCTCTGGGCGGTGCGTCCCGCTGCATTGACCTGGGCCGCCGCTGCTGCCGAAGCTGCTTGCCGCTCTGGCGCCCGATCTGGGGCCAGCCGCAGTGCCCTGCTCCTCCTCCTCCGACGGCACCGCCTCCGCCGGGCTCCGCGGGGCGGCGAGCGGGGGGCGGTCCCCGAGCCGCGGCTTGGGGATCTCCTGGCCGGGCCGCGGCCCGGGGTGTCCGGGTTAGGGGGCGACACAGAAAGAGCCGACGAGGAGGCGGCCCGAGAGCCCGGGAGGGGGCGCGTTATAAAGGGGGAGGTGCCCGGCCTCGCCCTCGCT